GGCACAGAGGCCAAGAAATGGGCCCAAGGTTTTTATAACTGGAAGGTAGCGGTCAAGCTCAGGCTGCACCTCCCACTTCTAGAGGAGAACATCGATATGTAATTCTATCAGGGTAAGAGAGAATGGCGCTCTCAGACTTGAAGTAACACAGCAGCACTGGAGAGTGGACCAGTGAGTGAATTATAGGAACAGGGCTGAGGGCGTGGCTCAGTTGGTAGGCTGCTTGCCTAGCACGCAAGAAGCCCTGTGGATCCCCCAACACCCCATAAATTGGGTGAGGTGGCACATGCTTGTAATCCCAGCCCTTAGGTGGTAGAGGCAGTGGGACCAGAGTTCAAGACCTACACAGTGAGTCTGAGACCAGCCTGGGCTGCATGAGACCATTTCTAAACAAAAACATTCAAGGCGTTACCCACATGTCAGGCACTGTTCTGGGCCCTGTGGTCACACTGGGGGGTGACGCAGGAGTGGGACAGCCTGCTCCATATAGGAAGGAACTACTCAGGGGCAGCTGGCCTGTTCCAGTGCTTCGAGTTGGGTCATGAAGGGAGGCCAGATCTCAGAGCAGGCCCAGGAAATCCTGTACCGGGAGGAGCAGGCTGTGCAGGGATGCATTCATCCGACACATATTTAATGTGCACCTCCTCTTTGTGGGGTGTTGGGGATGCAAAATGGAACATCCTCCCTTCCTCAGCAGGGTATTTAATATGCAAATGTGCATTGTGAATATGCAAGAAAGCCAGAGGCTGGGAGGCGCTTTTAACGGGAGTATCCTGCTACATCCCACATCCGGGCTCTGTGCTGTGTGCCTCACAGCATCACCTCCTCGAAGCCACACATGATGGCTGTTTTACAGAGAAGGAAACTGAGGCACAGAGTTGGGCTTCCACTCTTCTAGAAGTTGCTCGTGCACTTAGATGGTCTGATTACACTATGGGACATTTTCAAGGGCTGAGGTGCCATCAGTGCATTAAGGAGGGTGGGGGCCAGTGGTCCTCACTCTGAGTCTCATTTCCGTCTTGTTCCACCTGTGACCTTTGGCAAATGAGCTTCTCTGAGTTCTTTTGTTTTAAGACGACAATAAAATGCTTGTTGCCTCCAGGAAACTATGATGATGATTGGTGAGAAAATATAGGAAAATGACTTAGGATAGACCACAGCAGTTACCCTATAGAAGACCTATAGAAGGCATGTAGTTCATGCTGTCAATACCAGTATTTCGGAGGCAGAGGCAGGCAGATCTCTGTGAGTTTGAGGCCAGCCTGGTCTACAAAGGGAGTTCCAGGACAGCCAGGGCTACTCAGAGAAACCCTGTCACAAAAAAAAAAAAAAAAACAGGAAAGAAAGAGACAGAGAAAGAAAGAAAAATCAGACCTTCCGTCCAACTTCTGACCTGTGGTACAAGGAAATGTCCCCAGCAGAACTGCTTTTGAGGAGCACCCCTTTGTGCCTCCTTGGCTCCCCCCCCCAACTGTGTGCTGTGTGAGACTTTCAGAGCTCTCACCCATGCAGGTGGCGAGGTGGGGGGTGACAGGTGGCAGGGCTGTGAGCAGGGGGCAAGGAGAGCGCTAGACCAGGAGAGGGGTCTGATCTGTTTCTTTTCTGCTTCAGGGAGTGCCAGGACACAACGGTTTGCCAGGACAGCCTGGGCTCACTGCCGAGCTGGTGGGTATCAGCCAGGACACACTGGCCATCGTCCTTCCTGTCCTTCTCAAGGCTGAGCTGGCCACACAACCCCCGTTAGCTCTGGTGGGGGTCCTCCTTCGCTCCCGATCTTGAGGCTGAGTGCTCCTCTAGGGTGTATAAACCTCCCCTCCCGACCTGCTAGAACCTGCGTTTGTCTCTTACAGGGATCTTTACCCATTGAGCAGCACCTCCTCAAGGTAAGAGGGCACAGAGAGGTGCTGGCAGGTGTCGCCAAAGGGGATTCTCACAGCGGGTGCTCAGTTGCCTGCCACCTAACAGATAGCAGCAGATTGAGCCTGCTGGTTCCCTGCTCATGGGGGGAAGGGCGTTCTAAGCATCTGCCTCAGAGGGTCTGGCTGGGCTCTAGCTTGTAACAACCCTCTAGGCAACATTTGCTGAATGAGTGCTTAAAGGAATCCTGGGAAGGTCCCCACCTGGTGCGCGCCTGGTGACAGAATCCAGCCTCAAGTCAGCTTGCGTCAGCTGGCAAAGAAGCACCATAGCTTCTCTGGATCATGGCAAGGCAGGGCCCCAAAGCTTCCAAAGCGGAGTGCAGGGGTGGCAGCTCAGTGGTAAGGGGCTGGGGTGGGTCAGGTCAGTTTGAAAAGACGTCAGCAGGAGGAGGGACTTGAAAAGCAATTGTGAAGGAGAGTCAGCCTGCAGGTCTACCAGAGGGCTGCGGCCTGGTCCGGCTGACCAAGTTCTTGGGGACCTCTGGAAACCAAGGTTTCTATACCCCCGTCCCCCATTGCCTTGCTCAGTCACCTCCTGAAGTGACAATCCAGCTGGGTCATTCCTGCAGGCTGATTTCAACATCCTGAACCTCTCTCCAGGAGCTAGCGCATCCTCAGAGTGCCTTCCCCGGTCCCTCCTCCTCTAGCTCCTCTCTCTTGAGCACTGGCTAGTCAGTGCCATGGATATTACGCCACCCCAGTGAGCTTTGGTCAGAGCACAGTCTGAGAGCTGCCTGCCCTGCCCCTCTTTGAGCCACAGATGTTTCCAGAAGCAGCTGGTGGAGGCAGCTGAGTTAACCTGGCAGATGAGTCGGATCACAGTGAGGTTTGGGCAAGGAGACCCCCCGGCTCTCCTAGTCTTGGTGGAGCCCGGGTCCCCTCAGTCTGCCCTCCAGACAGTGACGATGTGACTCTAACCCCGGATGGGACACACTTCCAACATTTCACAAGTTGGCTTTGTAATCCTGTGTCCCGCAAAAGGTTCCACCCAGGAACTGAATCAGCCTGTCATAGGGGTCAAATGGCAGCCCGGAGAGCCTGCTGGGAGTCCCGGCAGTCACCATGTCCACAGCTCAGAGGAAGTGCTGATTCCACACAGACAGGGCAGGGACCAATCCAGGCTTACCTGGACAAATCCCACCACCTCTTTTGAATACCAGCTTTCTCCACAATACTCATAACATAATCGACCTCGTTGTACCCTGGGGACTAAATGTGCTTTGTACCAAGGCCCATTACAACCTATGGCCTCATGGGTGCTGAGAAATGATGGCCATTATCCTTGGGTGTTGCCGTGAATGGTGAAGGTGAGCGTGGGGCTCCTGTCTGGGGTCCCAGCTACCATGCCTGGTAACTTGGGAGACTCCCTGGAATGAGAGGCTAGTTTCACTAGCTTTGATGGAGAGGACCGACAGCTTCCATCGGTCCCTCGGACAGTCTGTGACCAAGAAGGGCAAAGCCTGAGTCACAGGAAACCTTGCCTGTAAGGACAGTTCAGACCCAGGGACCTGTGGAGCCTGTGACCGTCGGAGAGCTTGAGGCCCGCCCCGGGGAGTGTCCACAGAGGGCCCGCTCCTCTGGCTTGCCCCTGGCACCCCCTGGCAGAGGTGCTGGCACTGGGGTCCAGTCATTTCATCCTGGATCCTTGGGGGTTGTCCTCACGGCGGGTGCAGGTTGCAGGAACAGCCGGGACAGATGGTCCCTCTGCGGGTCCCTCCGCCTCCTCCCACACGCCTGTCTGGAAAGCGCTCTGGCTTGGCCTTACCTGAGCCTCTTCCTGGAGGAAACTCAGAGCCAATTGCTGGGATCGGGTCCCCTGAGGACAGAGCAGAGCTGCCGCAGGGATGTGGCTGGGGAGGGAAGAGTGTGAGAGCGGAGCACTGATGGGCAGGGTGCCCAGCCCTGGGTTCTGAGAGGGCATCCCCCACAGGCTCTTCCTGCCCTTCTGTGACCCAGGTCCCCCTGTCCTTCCCATTGCCCCCATCAGAGCATCTGTGGAAACTGTGCCCAGGGCCAGACAGCCCATCCCGCCTTCCTCCTGGAGAAGGGAGAAAAGGGAGACCAGGGCATCCCCGGGGTGCCAGGCTTCGACAACTGCGCCAGGGTAGGAACTGGGCAGAGGCGGGCTGGCAGGGAGGCTTCCCTGGTGAAGGAGGGCTCCCTGGTGCTGGTCCTGACATCTCCATCTGGTGGAGACCGGGCTGGGGGTAGCTGGCAATCCTGGCGTGGTATCATGTGCATACCGGAGGCCTCCCGACCAGCCTTACCCAACAGAGCCCCTCTTGTCCACCACAGTGCTTCACAGGAAGGGAGCGCCCACGAGCGGAGGAGGCCAGGGTGAGCAAGGCCTTCCCTGCACGCCCCCCCCTCTTGCCCTCTCCTCCTCCCACCCGCGTACTCACTCCCGATGTCGCTATCCCCCACCCCAGGGAGACAACAGTGAGGGAGAACCTGGCTGTCCCGGGAACCCCGGCCTGCCTGGTCCTCCAGGGCTGCCAGGCCAAAGAGGAGAAGAGGTAAGACCAAGGACCAGGCCCTCAGCCAGGTAGGCCTCAAAGATCCGTGTGTGTGTGTGTGTGTGTGTGTGTGTGTGTGTGTGTGTGTGTGTGTGTGTGTGTGTGTCTGTCTGTCTGTCTGTCTGTCTGTCCACATCTCCCAGAGCACTCCCTGCTCCTCTGGGTTTCCCATGGCCTGGAGGCCCTCACCACTCGACCTCCTCAGCTTCCTGGCACCCGAGCACGCTGGTTCCTCCTCTCCTGGCATCTCAGCAATCAGGTCACATATTTCCTTCTCAGTGAGGCCTTCCTGAATCACCCTTTCCAAAATGGAAGCTTCCCCACAACCCCTTCCCAAGCTCTCACTAAATCCTCCTGAAGCTCCCCCCACACCATCCCCATGCTCCCCCGACCCACTCTTCCCAAGCTCTTTTGCCTTCATTATGCTCACACCACCCAACCTTCTGTGTGTCTGCTTCCTTCTAGAACGTTCCACAGGTGTAGACTGAGCACCAACCATGTGCCAGCTGTGTTCTATTTGTTACTGTTGACCTCGCCTCTAGGACATAAGCGCCACGAAGCAGAGATTTTAATGTTTTGTTTATGGCTATGTTCCCAGCCCCTGGGCCTGTGCCCGGCACATAATAGCTGCTCAATAAATGTTTGTTGGATGACTGAATGAACTGAATGAAAGGCCATTTTAACATCAGCTAAATGGTTCTGCCTTGACATCAGCCGTCTTCTCCCATCTGCAGCCTCCGGGAGCTGGATGGAGGCAGGTACTGTAACACAGGTTACCGTGGGGCCTCAGACTCTCCATCTTGTTCCTTTGGTTTCTTCTGCAGGGTCCACCTGGCATGCGCGGCTCTCCAGGTCCTCCAGGCCCTATTGTAAGTACCTCTGATGTTCTGGTCTGTTTGAACAGCTCTCAGGAAGTCCTAACCCACACACCGTCCTGCTGCCTTGTCCCTAAGAAGCCAGGCAGGGCACCCACTACACTTACCCTCCTGTCGTGAGAGCATCTTTTGGGACAGTGGTCCCCCACCTGGAATGCCCCGCTCTGCCCCACTGCCTGTGGACCCACTTAGGGAAGGCCCTCGGGCACACATCTGGGCCCCGCATCTTCCCTGCTGTATTTAATACCGCACTAGGGACCCAGGTAGCCCCACAGCCAGCAAGGTGTATGGTTGCCCAGGCAGATCTCTCTACTTACCTTAAGGGCCTGGGATGATGCTCTCCATCGTTCTGTGGGGCCATCTCTAGGGAAGTCTACGAAGCCCGGGTGGGGGGTGGGGGGTGGGGTCTCCACCCAGAACCCTCAGGGATGTTGGTGAAGCAAGAAGGATGTGACTAGAGAAACAGGAAGTGCTGGCAGTGCGTTCTTTGGAGAAAAAAATAATAATAATGGCTGGTGGAAGCCTTGAACTACTCACCTAAGGGATGTTGGTGGTCAGGTGGTGGGGGAGGAGGGCAGGATCAAAAGGAACAGGCTTTTTACTCCACTGAAAGCAAACTTGGGGAGCCCTGGGAAGGGTTTTCAGGCTGGGGAGGCTGCTGTTATTTACCGGCGGAGGATCCCTTCTAGGGGAGCAGTGGCCATCTTCTGATAAGATTCCTTTCCAGTGACCTTGAAAAACTCCCAGGACCATCCTTCCCCCAAAGCTCCCAACTGCAGACTGTGCCTCCAGGCCACCCCAGGGTGACTGTTCTTATGAGATGTGACGTACCTGTTTCTCCCACCAGGGCCCCCCAGGTTTTCCTGGTACTGTTGGCTCCCCCGGATTGCCTGTAAGAACCTAGCACCACTCTGCCTCCCCCTCCTGCCAGCCAGGTCTCTGTGGCTTCGTTTGTCCCTCCTCCTGTGGTGCCCTGTCCTCCCCGTTCTGCCCCGTGTTCTGGTGTTCTGTTCGTCGTCCCCTGCAGGCATGGTAGCTAACGACACAGGGTTCCCTTAAGTCCCAGTGGCTTGGAGACCATCCCAGTCTCTCTCTCTCTCTCTGACTTCTTCCCATGCTCCCTCATCCTCTCCTCCAGCGTTCTCTCTCCCACCTTCTCACTCTCACCTCCCTGTTTCCCTCTCCCTCCAAGCCCAAACGTCACCCCCCTTCTGCCCCCCAGGTCTCTTTCACCTTCTTCCTGGAAGCTGGGGCCTCTGTGCAGGAGCCCCTGGATCTCTCCCGGCTCACTCTGGCCTCCCGCTTCCCACCACTGCCGAGTGGACTGGAGATTTTGCTGAAAGTAGTTCTTGGGGCCCTGCCAGGCGCCTGGCTCTGTGCCCGGCAAGAGATGCCAAAGCTTTAGGGCTTCACACTGCAGGCTGGCACAGGTTGGCTGCCCTGCTGCCTGGTAGGACTGTCCAGAGGCATCCTGGGGATTTACAGGCAGTCCTGCATGCACCCTTCCCCGCAGCTAGAGGAAAGCCACGGCCTCCTCTTCTTCCCTCTTCCTTGGCTCCCGGCCCAGGCTGCTCCAAGGCTGGGCATGCATTCCCAGCCAGTTGGGATTCTGGTGTTAGGGCCCTGCCCCTCTGTGCCCAGGGCCTTGGGTTCTCCCTCCTGCCAGGTGTCGTTAATTGCTCTGCCTTGTCATTGTCGTCGTTGTCACGGGTGTGTTTAAATAGCAACCCCCCACCCCCATCCTCAGTGTTGGTCTCTCCTGGGTCATGGAAGCTAAACCTCTTGTCTGTTGGATCCGTGTTCCCAGGGCTGTCTCCTGCACTCCCAGGCCTGGTGGTGGAGGCTCATGGACCAGGCAGGGCCTCTCCTTGTCGTATTTCCATCTGTCCCCATGTCTTCATGCCTGGCCGGGCCATGTCTGTTTCTGCTTGCTTGGGTGAAGGGGCCATCTGTCTGTCTAGCCATCTGTCTTGTGTCATGGAAAGGTCTGGGTGCCATTTCTAGAGGGCATGAGGGGAAGGGGGCAGAAAAGATGTCTGTGATGGTGAGTTGGAGCTGTGGAGACGAGGGTGCGGAATGAGGGGCTTGGACTGTGGAAGGGACGTCCCTCTCCATGTTGCGGAGTGACGTGGGATTGCTCTGGAGAGAGCCCTCTTGTGCCTGTCCCTTGCATCCCTGAAGATGGTGATTTGGGGCTCGGGTGGGAACTGGGGCAGGTAAGTACTGTGAGAACATCGTTTGTGGGAGCCCCTGCCCTGACAGCCTCCCCCAAGAAGGCCTCCGCAGTAGGCTACGACAGTGACAGCCACCTGGAAGGTGACTGTCGGTCACTCACCTGGAGGGGTGTGTCGCTGCTGCTGCTGCTGCTGCCGCCTGTCTGGAGGCTGCCTCTTGAAAGGCACCCATACATTTGGATTTACACATCCACTCACTCTTCCAGAACACACTCACGACAGTCACTTTGCCAGGGACACTGGGTTGCCACTCGTGACCTTTGTCCAGAGTGCAAAGAGGCAGGCATGGAGCAGGGAAGAGTCGTGGCTAGGTAGGATTACCCTCCTCTACGGTTTCTCATGATTTCTCTCTCTAAGGGCCTTCAAGGAGAGCGAGGGCTCACGGGCCTGACAGGAGACAAGGGAGAGCCGGTAAGAAAGGGCCCCAGGAGCCCCGTGGAGCCGGCTAAGGGGTGGCCCCTGGGTGGGAGACAGGGGGATGCTTTCGTTTGAACTCCTCAGCCACTCTGCCCTGATCCAGAAGGGCCGGGGGCTTTAAAAGAAAGGACTTCACATCCCTCGGAGCTGGGTGTCCATGGCTCCTATCATGCCTATCGTACAGCTCCGGCTCCTATCTGCCATTTCGGGGGGGTGAGGGTGTCCTCTCCTTCCCTCATCCTCTAGCACTGTACACCCTCCTGCATGCCTGGCCCTCTCCCCTTCATGCTGGGCCTCCTTTCCCACTCTGCTCCCAGGGTTCTGGTGAGCCTGGGGCTTGTCACCTAGCCAAGAGAACCTGGGCTTGGGAAATGGCCCAGAATAGTAACTGTACCTGGAGGTGGTGGTGGGGTTTGGTTGGGGTGGGGGATGGGCACCTGCTGGATAGCAGAGCCAGGTGTCAGGCTGCGGTCACTCTCACCCAGGCAAGGGGTGACAGAAATGTTGAGGGCCAGTCCATCCTCATGCCTGCCTTTCTTTGCAGGGTCCTCCAGGACAACCTGGCTACCCGGGTGCCATGGGACCCCCAGGACTGCCTGTGAGTAAGGAGGACTGTGTCTATGGGGGTACTGGAGGTACAGTCTGGTGGTGAGAACAGGGCCAGGCAGGGTGTCTCCCAACCACGTCCCCCCTTTCCCAACGTTCAGTCTCTGCCATGCCATCCATGTAGACCTCCCCCCTCCCCCGACCTCCGCCAACACACACACACACACACACACACACACACACACACACACACACACACACACCGCTTTGGCCCCCACCATTGCAACGGAGGGGAGGGGGGCCGCTCTCAGAACCCCCTGGGTCCCAGACTCAGCAAGAACTGAGATTTGCTGCCCAAAGGGTTTTGAGAGAGTGAGGAGGACCTCTGAGACTTGCCACTCCTCACAAAGGGCACCCTCAGGCCTTTGCAGTGTGGGCCACCATGGCGGGTGGGTGGCCGCACGGGCTATCGTCTCCCCCTCTAGTCCCCTCCTCAGGGGGCCCTCAGCCTCCAGGTGCCCTTCTGGGCACCAGCGGCAGCCCCGCCTCTTGCATTAGCCCCGCCACGGAGCTGATTCTGCTGTCGTTTGTCAGGGCATCAAGGGAGAGCGAGGGTACACCGGCCCTGCAGGAGAGAAGGGCGAGTCGGTAAGTGGCGGGCATGGGTACGGATGTGAGGGTCGGGGAAAGCGGCCTTCGCCCCCCCCCCAGCCACCTTTACCAACAGGGCGGGAGACTTTCCCGTGGGGAGGAGCCTGTGACCCCTGCTGCCCCTGCCCCAGCCACTCCAGCTGCGGCTCTGCACCAGCTGGTGGCTGCGGAGGCGGAGGCTGTGAGGAGATCCCAGCAGGCTTCTTGCAGGGAAGGCAACTGAGGAGGGGAAGGGCCCAGTCAGCTGGCAGAATTCCCCAGTCCTGCCAGATCAGGGCCAGGAGCCTTTTTTTTCTATTGAGGCCACCTTCATGGGGGTCCTACACTGAAGGAAGGAGCTGGGACTGCTAACACATGAGGTCACAGGCTCCCGGGTGACATGACTCACCCAGTGCCCTGCAGCCAGCTAGGGAGTTGGTGGAGGAGCCTGGGCTGGAGCCCAAGTCCATCTGGTGAGGCACCTCAAGCCTCGTCTCTGGGACCCGCCATGCTAGAGCTGGAGCCTTACCTCTCCCCCTCACAAATGTCAGCGAGGCCTCATGGGACTCTGCCAACACTGTCACACTTTTTAATCTGTGACGAGATTGTCTCCTAGGCATGCTGCGTGCTGCGAGTCCTTGTAAGGGTTCAGCACTGAGCAAAGCGGCCCCGTGTGCCTTGCCCTGCAGCGGGAAACTGCTAGAACATGAATAAATAGAAACAGATATAAGGAGAGCGGAGACCCCTGAGCGGGCAGGGTGGGGGTGGGAGAGGGGCGGGAGTGGTATGAGGACCCTGTGTAGAAGGGAGAGGGGGGAGGGTCCCAGGGACGACTCTTAGAGCTGAGTTCTGAATGGGGGTGGAAGGAGCTCTGTGGGTCACGGGTGGGTCCTGGCACGAACAGCTTGGAGCTACGCATCGGTTCCCGAAGGGCTCAGGAAACACTGAAGGGATGAGCAGTGGTCAGCATTCCAGAAAGAGGGAACAGCAATGCACAGGCCTGGGGGGGTGACCCCACAGAGCGTGCTCAGGGAAGAGCAGTCTGGACTGAGCAAGACACAGCCCAGGGAAGAGGAGAGAAGCGGGGAAGGATGGTTGCTGACAGGTTACAGGATACCCGTAAATCCAGCAGGAGAGGAAAGCACACGCCTCATTTATTAGACAGAGGGGGGCCATGGAGGGCTTTTGAGCCAGAGTTGGAGCTGTGCCTAAGAAAGAGGGATCAGCTGCTTTTTGTTGGCCGGGCCGGACTGGGCCAGGAGGTAGCAGGATTAATTAGCAGCCTAGTTCCAGGGAACTGAGGGGCCCAGGCGGAGAGTCCTATCAGCTCAGAACACGCCCACCGCGGACCCTGCCCATCCCCAGGCCTCATTCCTCCTGTTTCTGAGTGACTGATTCTGTTCCTTTGAGTCCTCAGGGCCCACCAGGATCTGAAGGCCTTCCAGGTCCCCAAGGCCCAGCGGTGAGTGAGCGAGCGAGCAGGCCATGGAGATGGGGAGGGGGAGGGAGCCTCCTGGCCCCTCCCTGTGGCCTGAGGACTGGAAGATTGGGTTTCAGTTACGTTCTTCTCTATGGTGACAGGGTCCCCGAGGAGAGCGAGGCCCCCAAGGGAACTCTGGTGAGAAGGGTGACCAGGTGAGTGATGCCTGGGGCTGGGGCCGAAGGGGGGTGGTCCCTGGGTCTAGTTTTTCTACCCATCCCCCCCACCTTCCACCTACTGGCCCCTCTCTGGAAATGAGGACAGAGCCTGGGGACTTGAGGCGGCCCCTCTTGTCCTTGTCTCCACCCGAGTGGCCAGGCAGAGGGGTGACCTCCTCACTTCTTCCCCTAGGGATTTCAAGGCCAGCCAGGCTTTCCAGGCCCACCGGTGAGTAAAGACACAAAAGTTTCCTGTAATGTGGTCCCATTGGGAAGAGCAGGCCTGGCTAGTCCCCCTGGATGAAAATGAACCTGGGGAGGGAAGTCAAGAGATGAGAGGGGCCGTGTAGATGGCCACCGCAGATTCTGGGAGCCAGGCCTGAAGAGCGGGCCTTGTGGATGGCCACAGAGGGCCAGACAGAGAGATGAAACGCACAGAGAAGGGAGATGAAGACCTATTTTTATTTCTGCCTGCTTCTTTGTGGCTACAGGGTCCCCCAGGATTCCCAGGCAAAGCGGGAGCCCCTGGCCCACCTGGCCCCCAAGCAGAGAAGGTGAGTCGAAACCCACGTCTGCCAGAAGCCCAGAGCTGAGTCAGGAAGCTCTCATGACCCTGTCAGGCCTTCAGAACATTCACAGACATTTGCCAGGAGGGTGGTAAAAGCAGTGTAGAGCAGAGAGAGACACAGGGCCGGTAGAGGTGGATAACTAGGCTGTGACAGGCCAGCTCCGGCCAGGTCATTTCTCAAGAGAAAGCAGAGAGGTCAAGGAGCCAAGGGAAAGGAAGGGATCCCCTGAATGAGGGCATACCTGGAGGAGGAGCGCACCTCTCTCCTTTGGCTGTCTCCAAGGGCCCAGAGGACACAGGGGTCACCTGCGACTTTGTGGTAAGATAGGAACAGCAGCCTTGGAGCGCCACACTGGTTGACTCCGAGACTGCCTTGATAGCCTGGACACACAGCCCTGCTGTGGTTTGGAGAGGACATCCCTGGCTCTGCAGAGGCTGGGGTTCCCTTGT